TCGTGGGGTCGCCCGCTCGGAGACGCGCGTCTCTGGCGGCGGCGTGACTGGCCCCTGCGGACGCAGAGGGGTCTTCTCGCCTGCTCGGCAGCCGCCATCGCCCTAACGTCCGCCACCTTTGGCCTTGCCCTGGGGCGCGAACCTGCGGGCGCCAGGTGCAAGGCACTCCCTGGCGTCCGCCCAGTGCCCCGTCTCGCCGCAGCCCCAACGCTGCGACGTCTTCTCGCGCTGGTCGACGCGGCCCTGGAGCTTGCCGGCCACACGTCGCGGGCCGGCGGGCTTGCCGGGTGCCCTGCCGCGGCCCCCGAAGGCCTCCCGGGCCGACCTGATAGCGGCAGCGGCCTCGGGAATGGCGGCAAACTCTTCCACAGCGACCCCGACCCTGGCCCCCGTCGAAGATCACGGTGACATCCACATTGGAGGATCCGAGCTCGGAGCTGAAGGCTTCGAGCTCCTGTCGGACCATGTCCTGGGCGTTGGTCTCGGCCTCGCCGTCGCCCCCCTCATTTCGGCCATCGTCGTCGTCTCTTTGCTCGTCGACGACGTCGGTAGACAAGGCCCCCTCTGCCTGAAGAGGGCCTGTGCCAGCCGCCCTGGCTGCGCGACTGACTCGACCACAGGCGAAGCGACGTCGCGCGGCGCTCGGGCGCGCGGGCGTCCGGAAGCATCAGCGCGAGCAGCTCGCGAATGCGCTGGCACCCGAAACGCTCGCCCGGCATGATGCCAATGACTCGTTCGCGACATTCCGAAGAAAGCACTGCTTTGCTTTGTAGAAACCACCGGGCAACGTCGCCCAACGCGTTGAGGTCCACCATGCTTGCGCGTAGTAGGTGAGGACCTGCCTCGGACGGAAGGAGTCAGTCCGTCATCTTTTCAATGAGCTGGCGGCGGCGCTAAATCAACTCGACAAACTCCTCGAGAGTCCCCCCCTTATGCGATGACGTTTGCTGACTGGGGCTTGCGTCCATGTGCTTGTTTGAACACGCTATTGATGCCAACCTGCTTGCGGCTCCCCTCCGTCTCGCCTCGGTCTGCTATATCGTACCTTGGTAGCGGGTGGAACTCCGCCTCCTCCGTGTAAAACGCTGCAGACACGGCCGTGCCCGCTAACTTGAGCACGAGCATCGACGCAAGGTTCTGGCTCACTTCTAGCTTCTCGCTGAGCTTCCACAGCTTCACATCCTGCTTGTAGTGTCTCCGCTGTGCCGGATCTCGCTTCCAATTGGTAGCGATTTAGTGTTGGAGTGAGTTGTGCTCCGCCATTTTGCAGATGACTCTGACCCTCAAGATGGTTATGGCATCGAGCTCGTAGGATCGCTGATGTTGATGTCCAGGGGTAGTGGGACATCGAAATTGGCGTCTTCTGGCTGGTGGCCGTCGCAAACGTCCAGGACATAGGCGTTGGGCTGGACGTCGGAGACGTCCAAGGAATAAGTGAGTGGCTGGACGTCGCAGGCGTCCAAGAAATAACCGAATGGATCGTCGCAGGCGACGAAGGATACAACGGCTGCAACGAGCAGCAGCAGGACGCCGCTGGGCGTTGTTTCAGCGAACGAGGGCGCAATCGATGTCTTGGATATGGAGTGCTTCATGCGCAGCACGACGGGCAGCGGCAGCGTAATGTTTCCAGGGTTCGCACGCTCCCTGCTACCAATGATATGGATGGCACGCGGTGCCAATGATCTTTCTCGCTGCGAACGCGGTCGACCAACTGCGTAGCTCTGAAGCAAAGGGCCCTGAAACACCGAGTTGGCCACAATAGGCGATGGTAGAAAGGGCGAGAGCAGCAAAAACGAAACACATCGAAACAGAGATAATAGACAGGAGCGAGCCCGAATCACAGGCGTGTCCTCCGCCTGCCCGTCCGTCCTCACCCAGGCCAAGCAGTGGCTCAGGACCCGCAGCATCTCGGAAGGTTTGCCGAAAGGTCATTCTGGATAGCCGCCCTTTCCAGCCTGCCCTCGGCAGAATTGCGTGGGGGGCCTGCGGGCTGCTGATCGCAGTGCCCCCCGAGAGGCACTCCTGCACGCATCGGCGGAGGAGAAGAGGAGGCAGCGGAGGAGGCAGCGGAGGAGGAAGGAGGAGGAGGAGGAGGAGGAGGAGGAGGAGGAGAAGAAGGGCAGGAGGGGGAAGCAGTGGAGGGAGGATCGGCAGGAGGAGGCAGGAGGAGGGAGGAACAACAAGAGAAGGAGGATGCAAAGGCGGAAGGATGAAGCAGGCAGATGGCCAAGAAGAGGAGATGTGGCCAATAAGCGAAGGGACGGAAGATAAAGGGGGAGGCGCTAATAAAATACTCCGTTTCCTGCCGGGAGGAAGGAACCTTGGAAGTAGGGCTGTTATTTCTCAGAGTGGTTCGCCGAATACAAATCAAACCAACAAGCGGCAATGGTTGCAAGCCATGTTGGGCTGCTGTTCGACGGCCAGTGGCCACTTGGCCCAGCCTGGGCCATCAAGAAAAGAGCCGGGAACCTTCCGACTCTTGGGACGCCTCTCCATCCAGTGGCCTGCTGCTGCGACAGGGGCACGTGGGCAATCGATAAGCCTGTCGGGCCTCTTCGGGGGAAGCCCGCCCAAATCATACACCCTGCGAAATGCTTAAGAAATCATGGGTTCAGAAATTTATGATATCAGAACTAGAATAAAAACCGAACATTTTCATTAAAATCTTAGGATGTACATTGAAACGTTAAGAATAATCGAGACTCTGGCCGAAAACTTTTCTTAAGCATCGCCGAAGGTGTACTCCTGGGGACGGCCGCCTGCCTGGCACACTGCAGGAATGCGTAACAGTGACGACACACTTCTTGGCCGCGGCGCTGTGGGTCACAACGCTGTCGGGCTGCAGAGGGCCGCGGACTATCGCGCGCCTGTGCAACGGGAACAGCGGAAGGGCGCGTTCCACGCACACACACAGACACACACACACACACACGCAAACACACGCAAACACACGCACGCACGCACGCACACACACACACACACACACGCAAAAACACGCACGCACACACAAACACACACAAACGCACACACACAAACACGAATGCGGCAGATGGAAGGCTTCCGGAGCTCCCCAGCCAGAGGCTCTTCACAGCGTGTCGGTGTGCGGAGGATTCATTGCGATGTTCAACGACGTCTTTTTTTACGTGCATTTTGTCGACGCAAACGGCGCCATCAAACAACACTCGTGCCACCTGTCACCCAGCTTTCCTCGACCAGCGCTCCGGGCCCATGATGCCGAAGAAAATGATGTCTCAACAGTGACATGAACTTGCTGCCATGCAAGGCGCACCGCGCGCACTCTTTGGCCCTGCAGAGCACTAGTTTCTCGCCCCCGCGCGCGATAATGGCGTCCCAGATGCTGACGTAGGACGTGGGCACCCTCTTCAGGTCATACCCCGCTTTGGTGGCCATAATCTCGATCTTGGTGAAGCCGGCGTCAATGAGCATCTTGCGTGCCGCAGGGAACGTCGGCTCTCGTCCTATCTTCAAGGCGCCGCTGCCCCACAATGAGGGCATGGCGCTAATGTTGAACGGCATGTCGGAGACCAGCACGAGGCGCTTGCCAGACTTGTTTGAATGGGCCTTGATGTGGGACAAGAGCTCCTGCGCGCATTGTGTGTAGTTGATGTCGGCCACCGCCTCCGACCGCCAATTGTACACGACATAATTCCCCGCGTGGCCGCCCGTTGATGGGCGCAGCCCGTTTGCGGCCAAGATGCGCTCAACCTCTGCTTCACGGGCCGCGGAAAAATTGAATTGCGGCCAATTGTCCGCTCGGCCAGGGTGTGAGATCGTTGCCTCGGGGACGGGAGATATGAGATTGTCGATGCGGGCCGTGCTCAGCTGGTTATGCTGTACAACGACGCGAGCCGCACTCAGCGCCTCGACTCCAACGGAGCGACATGAAGACACAGCGTCTGTCCATTCCTGTATTGTCTTCGGCGCCATGTCGCCTGCGCAGGAAGGAAGGCTGCACATTGAAAACCGAACGCATTGATTCGAGTCGAGCTCGGCGTCGAAGGGTGTCAAGCCCCAATCTGTCAGGTCGAACAGGTCAGCGAATGATTTCGCACCCCCATGCTTGCAACTCGTGCTCCTGCCACTCGTCAGGTTCACACATGGAATGGTGACTACGTGGTTTGTGGAGCCCGCCAAGTACTGTAACTCACGCAGGGCCCTGGGCCAGGCTGCCATGCCCTCTACCATGTCGTTCACGACGACACGTTTCTGCTGCGCAAGGCCAATCTTGCCAACGTCGGGAAGAGACGGGGAGGGCGTTTGAGGGCGCGACAACAGGCGCAACATGATCACAGTCGCGCCCACTGCCAGAAGCGTGGGGACAAGACACAACAACCCTGTCTTGCGGTACGGCCGCCCTGAGCTCTCAGCGTCGCTTTCGCCTCCTGCCTCCGACCAGAGATACTCTGGCCTGAACCCTCCAGGAGAAGAGATGGACGGGAACTGCATGTTCAGGCGCGGGCTCAGCCAATCTCGCCAGTGCCAAAATCGCTTCAGCTTCACACTAAATGAGCCCGCACGGCTTGGAGTCAGACAGCTTGAGCCCAAATGGCTACGGTTGCGATGTTCAACGACGTCTTGGCACCGTTCGCATTGACTGAGGGATCCCTTGCGAGGCGGCCCACACCGTGATTGACATGATTAGCGACCACGTTGCCCCTATTATTCTCAATTGTCCTCAAAAGATGACTCGGACAAGAGCAGGCCACACTTCGGCATCTGCGAGTTCGAGTGTTTGAGCGAGGGAGGGGGCACGTGTCTCGCGAACAAGTCTACCACCCTCAATCTATGTACGCTATTCCTGCCGCTCGTGCAGAAAAGTGCGATATACTCTGACATCTGCGCTTACGAGGCGACCTCTACATTATCACTTTGGATGAACAAGCTGTACAATCGAGCCCACGATCGATCCGACAACATTTGCGGTCAGAACACCCGTTTCTCTCCCGCAGGCGCTGATCTACGCTGGCTAAGTCGCCCACGTACTTCCTGAGCACCTCTGAGCGCATTCGTTTACAACCAGACAGGCGGGCGGGCAGATGAGCGCAGACGGAGACGCCGCATGCTGCAAGGATGGCGGGGGGGGGTGCTGAGTGACGTGGCGGGCGCAGGAGCCCTGCCTGGGCAGCGACGAAGGCAGAAGTCGGGCCGTCACGGGGGGCCCATCGACCCCCTCGATGTAGAGGCAGCAGCGAGCGCCTCTATCGACTTCGCGTCGCCGCTCACGACCTCCACCTTGGCCCTGGTCCCGGGCTCCAGCAGGTAGCTGAAGGTGTTCCAGGCCTTCGTGAAGACGGACGGGGCCCGGATGATGAGCACCTGGGGCGGTGCTCCACGGTGCTGCGTGTGGCGTCTGCTAAAGGATTTTTGTTTTGCCAGGGCACGTCAGGCCAAAATCCCCGGCGGTATTTTCGAGGCCACTGTTGCCAATGTTGCGCCCGGTGGGGCGGACAGCAACCTGACCTCTGCTCGAAATCCGGCTGGAATCCGCCAAGATGCGGAGGCCGACGAGGGAACGAGGGAGAAGAGGAGGAAGACGAGGCCGAGGGGATGGCCCCTGCCTGGGCCCTCTGCTCCGTCCCTGTCCCGCCCTGGCCCCCGCTCCGAGCTTTGGCCCCGGCGCTGCCCTGCGCCCGCCCTGCTGCTGGGGATCCCCCGGCGGCATGGGGCCCTGCGCTTCTGCAGCCCTGGCCGGCTGTGCGGCGGGGTCCTGCTGCGGCTGGGTGCCGTCGTGGCGTGGACGTCGGCTTTTCTGGCGCCGCCTACGCAGGTCGCTCCATCGCTGGCGATCTCTGCGATCCGATATCCGACATCGGAGTTCGCTCAAGGTTGGCTCGGTTCAAGTCACCTGGGACATTCGAACCTTGAGAGCCCGCGCTGATGTCGCCGCCGCGTCGACGTGGCGCGAAACTGCTGTAGGCCGGGGGGGGGAACCGACGCTTCACTGCACCATCCCTAGGACATCCATGACCTCATACACCAATTAGAACGTTTTTCAGTCCCTGAATTTCCTTTTCCCCCTGCTCCTTCTTTGCGTTCGTCTCCTCCTCCTCCTTATGCTCCCGGCCGGGGGTCACCATCGCCTTGCTGTCCCCTTGGAGCCGTCGAAATTGCCACGAAAGCTCCGACAACTCTTCTTCCCATCCACCTCTTCGCCCTCCATCTCCTCCTTCCTCCTTTCCCTCATGCAACTTGAACCTTACCTTCGCTTGTGCCACCCTGGACCTCAAATCCCATCGGGCCCCATCCCGCCCGACATTTCCCCCTCACATAGAGAAGACGAGAACATATGCATAAACAGAAACTTCCGACGGTCGACACGGATTTCTTGGATCTGTGCTGAAACCCTCTCCCTGGCGCGCGGAGCGCGCCAGGGGCGGCACCGATGGCGCCGCCGGGGGGGTGGCCCAACGCCGATCCACGAAATCCGCGCGGAGCTCCGAAAGAGTTTGTTTCTGCAGTGTTTGTTCTTCTTCGTATCCCGCCCGATACTTTCCCCTCACAGAGCATGCATACCATGCGGGTTACCCGCGCACGCTGAAAGGGTACAGCCCCACTTGGATAAGATCATGCGAGCCACGCGCGCGCGCTGTACAGGCACCACCCCTCTGTCGAGAGCGCTCCGAACGGGCACTCTCACTGTCAGATGCTACCATGCTGGCCGCGTGCGCGGTCGAAACGGGCACCACGTCTGTCAAATTTGAGGCCGTGCCTTCTGAACGTACTGTAGTGGATTGCTCCAGGCTCATACTGTTGGAAGTGTCACGCGGATTCCAGGATGCTCAAGGGCCCGAGCCCCTGGCTTCCTGGAGCTCACTGGTTCTACCCGTCTCTCTCGGTCGATCGTGAAGTGTACCGCGTGGGTTCTCCAGAAGCTGACCCCGCCCGAAACGACCCCAAGGACCACCAATAGGTTCCCAAGAAGCGCCTAAAAGGGCATAGGAGGTCCCCAGGAAGTTCCAAGAGGCTTCGAGGGGCCCCAGCAGACCCGCAAACGCCTGTAAGCGAGACTCCAAGACGCTCCAAGAGAGGTCCTGGACAGCATTGGCATACTCACATTGTCTTTGCAGGATTATTTCGCCTGTGCGGATTCTTGGCTCAACATGGCTTCAAGATGGTTTCAGAGGAGCTCCACAATTACCCAAGAGGGGTCCAAGAACCATCCGAAATAGCACACCCAAGAGCCTCCCGAGACGGCTCACGACAGCCTCCAAGGGAGTCTAAGGCAGACCGAGAGGGCTCTGAGATAGAACAAATGTCGCCGAGACATCACAATAGAGAGCAACGAATAGGCCCCCAGCAGTTCCAAGACGGCGTAAGACAGCATATCCAAGAGGCTTCTAAGACGCCCCCAAGATCCCCCAAAGAAGCCTCCAAAAAGCTCTTAAAAAGAGGTGGCGGGATGGGCCGAATGCCACTAGATCCGCCGCCCCCCTTTGGCTTGCCACAGGAGTGCCCGACGTGCTAATTCTATACGGCTAAGTCCTGGCGCTTTTCGAAAAAATCCCCCTGGGGCGACGGTCCATTGCGCTGGCCACCCGGAAGGGACTGGAAACAACCTCAACGTCCGAAACGAACAATCTCCAAGACGGCTCTAGATGGCCTCTCCGACGGCCAAGATGTCTCGACATGGCCTCCAACACGCCCCCGAGACGGCCAAGAGGGCCCCAAGATCCTCCTCCTGCTCCTGCTCCTGCTCCTGCTCCTCCCCACCCCCAAACCATATGCAAAACGTCCGAAACCTCCGCTTCATCTTTCCCCGCTCCCTCTTTCCTTCCCTCACGCCGTCCTCCCCTTTCCCGCTTTCCGTCGCCGGCGCCGGCCCCTGGCCCCGGGACGTGCCTTGCCCGTGCACTCCGTGACCAGGAGGCAGCGGCTCTCCACGAGCTTGGCAATCGCCCGCGCGGCCCCGAACTGGGCCTGATCCTCGGCGGGGCCGCGCGGACCAGGGCCCCCCGATCAGAGCCCCGATCAAAGCCAGACCAGAGCTAGCCGGCCACAGCCCGATCAAAGCCGATCAAAGCCACGAGGATCCCTCGGCAGGCCCACGCCCACGTCGGGTCCAGACCGACCGCGGGCGGAGCGGGCACCCGCGGGAGGGGAGGGCGCGGAGCGCAGCGCGGGGGTTGGCCGCGGGCGCGCGTCCGTCGGAAGCAGCGGGCAGGGGCACCGGGAGGCCTGTTTGTTGGTGGTCTTGCTCCCTGCGGGACTCTGCGGCTGTGTGCTCCAGGGCATCGCTTTGGAGGGCCGCGAGTGGGCGGCGCGATGACGCCACCGCTGGGAGTTCACCAGGGAGACCTTCCAACAAAAATAAATGGGGCCTCGACGTCAGCAGCGCGTCGCAGACGGAGCATGCCGCTGGAGACTGGCATGCACGCATCCGCGCAAGAGCGGAGCGAACGGAAAATGCAGGTGTACGAACACAAAGAGGCCCGAGTGCGGGGGGCGACAAGCGCCTTGATATGAGACTGCACGGAAGAGAGAAAAAGATAAGGACGGGAAAATGTAGGGAGGGGCAGGGTGGCACGGAGGAGGGGAGAACAAGGGGAAGGGAAAAAGAGAAAAAGGAGGGAGGAAGACGCGCACGAGGAGAAATTGGAGAAGGAAGTGTAGGAGAACCTGCTGCCTGACGGGTTCCGCTGATGCAATGTTTTGGCGCTGTGTTTGTCAAAGGAGAAAAAGGAGGAGGAAAGAAGTTGAAATTGGAAAAGGAAGAAAAGGAGGAGGGGGAAAAAGGGACGGACGGAGGGAAGAGAAAAACGGCAAAATGGAAGGGAGGGGGACGGAGAGGGAGGGGAGGAGGGAAGAATGAGGGAAGCGGAGCACCAAGAGGAACCCGGAGACGAGGAGGATAAAAGGAGGAGGAGGAAAAAGAAGAGGAGGCGGAGGAGTCGGAGGAGGAGAACACCCACCGGCCCAGGGATCTGCTCCACTGCCCGCATGCTGCCCGCCCAGGCCGCCGCCGCCGCCGCATGGGCTGATCGCCCGCGGCCGCCGAGGCCCCGTCCAGCCCGAAACCCTCGAGGTCCATGATGACGAGGGCCGGCCTCAACGGCACGCCTCTGGCTGGCGACGAGGAGGAGGAGGAGAAGGAAAAGGAGAAGGAGGACGACGACGAGGACGAAGAGTACAAGATGGGGGAGGAAGATGAGGTGGTGGATGAGGAAGAGGGCGGAAGGCGCACGAGGAAGGGGGGGGCAAATTGGCAACAGGGGCCCTTAGGATTGTGTGGGAAGTCCTAGAGGGAATGCGGGGATTTCTTAGGGCGGCACAGAGGCTTTGGGAGGTCCGTGGGAGGCGAGGAAGGGAGGAGAGGAGGCGGATCATGAGGACACGGGAGGTAGCGTGGGATCCGCCGGCCCCCTTGCGGGGCCATCAGGCTGCGAGGGTTAGGCCTGCTGCTCCCTGCACCAGTTCCAGTTTCCAGTTTCCAAGGCGACAGTGCTCGAAATCCCGTCAGAATCGACCCATCCATAAAAAAAAACCTTCAATTGCAACCTAATTTTCTGGACCCCCCTTGTCAACGGGGGGCCGTAATATTCTGGAGCCCCCTCTGCGAAACAGCAAGTGCTCCTTACTCGTGGACACAGTGATGGCTACGAGCCAGTGTTATGGCGGATACGTTAATGATGATGGCGGCGGCGGCGGCGGTGGAGAGCGTGACGCTTCTGGTCATTACGGCGGCGGTGCTATGATCTAACTGTCACTGCGATCGAAATGAAGACCGTGATGATGTGATGTTGATGTAGGTAATGCTGGTGATGGAAATTATTTTTTCTCCCACCGCCACCACGCTCTGTCGCACGACGGTGGGCCCGCATTGGGTGGGCCGGCCCAGCCGCGCACCCCATGCACAGGTGGAGGCCGACTTGCACCACCGTGCCCAGCACCATGGCCACCAGGAAGGAGAAGAGAGGGTACATGATATGACGACCGGCAGGGAGATAGCCTCAGGCAGGAACACGAAATAACTGGCAACGCCGTCTGGATCCGAGACGAGGCCGATGAAGACCAGAAGAGGCCGCCGACCCAGTACATGACGAAGCCAGGCTTGCGGGAAGAAGCCACGAAAGTCGGCCTCATCATCCTCCAAGCGCGCGTAGCACATCCATCGCTGACAGTTTCTTATCGGGATTGTCCTCGAGGCTCGCCACATGCATCTGAGCTCTCTCGTACAGCAGCGGCCAGGCAAGCGGTGGGAGGCCAACGGGCCCGCGCAAGTGCTGGCTCAGATTATCCAGCTGTTCCGCAAAGTACCGCGCCAGTGAATCAAAAGATGCCATAATGGTACTTTCGTGCAGGGCTTGTGTAAGAGCAGGTTGATAACTTTGTCTGACTTCTGATGCCCATGCGGAATCAGACCATGCAAGTACTGAAACTGGCCGTCCTCAGGCGAAGCAGGCGCACGCCCAAGAGCAGGGAAAGCGGGGGCAGGTTGGAACTCCTCCGGCCTCTCCTCCACGACTTCCAGCCGAGCCAACTTTCGGGGCGGCGTCCCCGAGGCAGCATCACGACGAACAGCACCATCACCTTCAGGAACATGAAGGACACGTTGCTCCACAGGGCCAGGATGATCATCAGCACCTTCATCCCCAGCACCGCCACGAAGTGGAACGACCGCTTCGGAAAGAGCTGCACCACCAGGGAGAACTGAAACACTACCACTAGCACCTCCGCGATCACGAAAGCGATCGTCAGTTGCCTGTAGACCCAGAGGAGCGAGGCCTTCAGACTCAGCATCGACACGAAGGCGGGCGGCAGCATCATGATGGACAGCATCAGCACCTTCAGACACGAGAGGGCCACGTAGCTCCACATGGCTATGATGATCAGCAGCACCTTCGACTCCAGCATCGCCTCTAAGTAGACCGACTGTTTCAGAAAAGAGCTGCACCCTCATGGGAAGCTGAACCACGATCATGATGATCTCCAGTGTCACGAGCGCGAGCGCCAGCAGTCGGCATCCCAGGAAGAGCGAGGCCAGCAAGAACCCGATCAGCAGGATCGGCACCAGGAAGATCAGACCCCAGACGGAGCATCGCCATCCAGATGAGCGAGGCCACCACGAAGCCCAGGAACCGGATGCAGTACAAGTGTGACGATGCAATCGCCCGAAGAGGATTTGCGCCCATGGTACGATGCCACAACTCCTTGAAGTTCCGAGGCCACGTGCATGAGCCAGATGACCAGGAAGCCGTTGCATATCTCCTGATCCCACTCGCTCAGGAGGCGGATGTGCAGGACTGCATTCTTAACGTGAAAGTTGAAGACGCAATGCACCTTACGACCTTGGAGAATCTGCTGAATCCGCCACTCCAGCCGAGCCAGCGTGACCGTCAAGCAAGAGGACGGGGCAATGACAAAGCAGCAGGAAGCGCACGTGCGCGGCACGGGCCCTGGACTCCGGCAAATGCTTGAGCCAAAATCGCTATGCTGGTGATGGAAATGATGGTGGTGATGATGGTGATGGTGATGATGGTGATGGAAGTGATGATGATGATATTGATGATGATGAGAAAGCGGAGCAACATGCGAACTGCAACAGCAGCTTGAGCACAACAACCAATACGCAAGAACGCCTTAATAAACCGGACCCCCCTCGTCTTCGGTCTAAAGGCACCGCCCCAATGAACCGGGCGCCCCCGCTTCCAAAGAATGCGCCTTCAAAAACCGGACCCAGGTGGCGATTATTCAGGAATTTCGAATCTTGCTTTCTGCTTCTTACTGTAAATTGTCACTGTCCGCGCGAGGGGGGGGGCCGAAAAGGGCCCTGGTTAGCGCCCCCGAATCGCGCTGTCTGAATTTCTGGGGGGCCGTGGGGCACGTGAAAATACATGAGATTCGCGCTCCCGACGCAATAATCCCTGGCAGATTATGCTGTCTTCGCGCCCCTGGGGCCAAGCTCCCTGGTCAATTAGGTTGCACTCGCGTCCCCGAAGCCACGATACTTCTTAAAATATTCCATATATTCGCGCTCCTGAGGTCACGAGCCATCGTAAATTACTCAACGTTCTCGCCTCTGGGGCCACGATCCCTTGCGAATTACTCCACAGTCGCGCCCCCGAGACTACGATCCCTGGTAAATTACACCACGTTCGCGCCCGCGAGGCTACGATCTCTGGTAAATTACACAACATTCGCGCCCCCGAGGGGCCCGTAGCGAGCGATCTTCAGCAGGCGCAGCAATAACCTCACCCCTGTGCCAGCAAGGTGCTGAGCAGCTTCTTCACCTGAGACACAGAGGTACCTTCGCAGGGCAGGGCCCCTTGGAGCCACCTGCGTCGTTTCATGTTTCGCCCAGAGCCTTTTCTTTTTGTTCAATTTATTCTTAGCTTTGTCCTGCGTCTCTTCAGAAATATCATGAGCAGCTCTGTCGCGCTCACAATCCTCCTCGCCGATGAGGTTTAGACGCAAATTCTGGATGCGCTGACAGAGCGCATCTTGCCCGAGTACTGCGAAGGTAGTCTGCATAAAAATGGGCAGCAAGGGCAGGACCAGCACGAGCGGCAGCATCAACTCTAGCGACGTCGCCAGCTCGTCAGCCTCGAACAGCCCGAAGCGCACGACAGTGCTCGGCCTCTGTCGTCTCGGCAGCCTCAGAAAAAATCTGCGAACCTGGCCAGGCGGCCCCGCGGAGCCAATGCATGTCTCACAGTCCAGGAGTGGGGCCGTCTAGGAGCACCTCGGGGCAAACTCGCAGAACATCGCGACGACAGTGGGGAGGTGATCCGAGGCCGCGTTCGATTAGAGCCCCCCCAAGACCTCGCGTTTGATAGTGAGATCGCCGAGCAGAGCGGCAGGGAGCGCACCGCGTGCCCTATCCAGACGGGCTGCGCGCGCAATCGTTCACCCCCGATCCTCCCATCGAGCATCCTCAGGTTGATAGAAAACCCCGCAGCAACTATGCGCGATTGAAAAGAAACGTATGAGCGTCATTTCCGGACGACCACCCACTGCCTCCAGCTCGCTCAGTCGCCCGTCAGACGCAAGGGCAAGGCTCCAATTTCCAATGAGGATAACCGCGCACTCAGAGGGCGCAGACAGGGCGGCAAGGACTGCATTCAAGACACGAGCGTAGATCGCAATCAGGTCGTTCGTATTTGGCAGGTGAACGCTGATGGTATAGGGGATCCCAGACGGCCCAGAGAGGAACGATCTAAGGATGCGACCGTCAATGATGCTGACATGAGAGACCGATGGAACATTCCTTAAAAAACAACGGTGAAGGCAAGTAATGACACCGCCCGCACACGTGCTGCGAAGGAAGAAGGGATGACGAATATCATAACCACGAGGCTCTCGATTCAACTCAGGTATATCAGCAATTTGTCCATGGCACTCTTGCGCGCAAAATCTGCTACGTAGTTTTGTGTACTTGAAGAAAAGGGAATACCGCCGCGGAGATGTCACACTCTGGCTGCGAACCGCTACAAAGAGGGCGCGCGTGCTCCATGAACCGACCTTAAAGGGGGGAGGGCATTAAGGGCAGGGGCCCCGCGAACTTACCTGTCCTGACGCGTAGCTCCACGAGACGCCCACACGTGCTCCGGAGAAGCCACGCGCACGCGCAAAGTAGGGAGGGACATATCCGAGGCACAGCGAATGACTACAAGTCAGTGGGCCATGCGCGGGCAAACACTCAAAGGGGCCACCAGGACTGCCAGCAAAAACACACGGTGACACCTGTGCACCGAGGGCTGCACCCAAAGCCAGGGGCTCATCAAAGAACTCCCTGACAGGGGTCGCCCTCGTCCAGGCGCCCATTTCCCAATGCCAGATTTTCGAGCAAAAGGGATGGGCCAGGGCGTGAGAGTCAGCAACGTGCCTTTAGAACCACTTGTGTGATTCAGATGGGCAATCAGATATGCAGTCCAAGTCCGCATGGCAAATCCGGGGTCTTCATGGGGCCCTCAAGATGAAGATGCCACCTCCGAGCCCATTAGAGCCCACATGCCTCTGAAGGGAGCGTACAGCAGCTGCAACTGTTGCACGAACCCTCCCCGCAGCTTGCAACTGTTGCACAAGTCTCTCTCTGCCCTCAGCGAAATGTTCTGGCCAGGGTAGACGGGGTCGGGGAAAAAGAGGGGCTGGGGAGCTGCCAGTGTCCTGAGGACGCCTGTCGCCTTCATTTAATCAGGGAAATCCATGGCTACACTGTTTACTCTGATCAAGAGCACGCACCACAAGCTAAACGCGGCAATGCGCTCCTGCCGCAAGAAAGAAATCCACAGCACGACGAATGGATGCCTGCATCGTCCTTCAAGGGAGGCCAGCAATCACGACACGGTGCGCACGCGCACACGGGCAGCCTGGCGCGTGGACGAAGGGCGAGCCGAAGGGCCCGAATAACCAGCCGACAATGTGGGAGTCCCCAATCGTCGAAAGAGGGGCTGGTGACGCAGGTAACGTTCGAAACTATTCGTCAATGACCTGAATCCGGCCTTGCGCAATCGGGGGGAATGTGGACGGCTCCACATCCATGGGGCCACGAGAAGTCGGCGACGACTCAAGCGAGCACGCACGAGAGCTCAAGTCAGCAAAATGCTCCTGAAGGGCATGCAGTGTCGTAGCATCATCCCTCGCGAAGTTCGTCACCTGCACCGAAAAGTCTCCGCATCGCCGATTTGAGATCTCAACCTCCTGCTGTGAATGAGCTTTGTCCTGGTTCGTGGTGGTCACAGCACCCGCAAGAGTCCCGAAGGTGCCTAGAATTGAGCCAACATGTCCTTCGATGGTTTGGGTGCACCGCCTGCGATCCTCAATCGAGCGCGACCGAGTCACAGAGCAAGATGGGGACGGGGAGTCTTTTCAAGTGGCGAGCCTAGTACGGCAATTCTCCACACGATTCGGCATCTGAGCAGCCCAGTGTCTGAGCGAAAAGGAAGACAGCAGGCTCACTCCAGGAGAAGAAGCGTAAGGGCGTCCCCACAATACACAGGGTGCGCAGGATATGACAACGTGGGAGATGAAAGGGATACAACTCGCAACGCTGCTCGGGCGAGCACCTGCGCGCTGGAGTCAGAGGGAAGACCCTCGTGCCACCCGAGAAGTTGATTACTTCAACCACAATGGTTTGATCCCACATGGCTACGGGGTAATACTACACAAGCCTTTTAGAAAGACGAGCGATGCGAAAGGCGATGGAATCCCACAAGCCCTCTGGGCGTAGGTGGTTTAAGGCGTGTCCTCGTCCACCCCTCCCTCTTCCCCTTCGGGGAGGGGTTTACTCCTCCCCCATACCCCCGCCCCTGGACCTGGACGCAGCGTTCCGCGAGCGGTCGGAGCGTCCAAAACGGCCTCGGCGAGGAAGCCAACATCATTGGTTTTACTAGCGTTTTGGTCCCATGTTGGCCTCTTGGGGGGGGGTAATTTAAGCTCCCCTCTTGTTAAATCGATCTCCTCCGAACTGTCCCCAAGAGCGCTCCCAAGGCGCCCACGGGTGCCCCATGAGGGCCTCAAGAGGTGGCCAGGAGGCCCCAAGGGGCTCCCAAGAGGCCCCCAGGATGCCCCTAAGAGGCTCCCAAGAGACCCCCACGAGGCCTCAAGAGGCCCCCCAGAGACACCCAAGACGCTCCAATAGGCCTCGGCGAGAATGACAACATTACTGATTTTACTAAGGTTGTGGCCACATGTTGGCCTCCTCGGGGGGGGGGGCACTGCTTAAGATGACTCCAACAGCGCCTGGGAGAGCCCAAGAGGACCTCCAAGATGGCTCAAGATATCCCAAGATGCCTCAAGATGGTTCCCACGCTGCTCCAAGAGGCCCCAAGACCGCTCCAAGACGGCTCCAAGTGGTCAAAGAGCCCCCCAGGAGGCCCCGAAGAGGCCAACAGCCTTCCAACACCTTGGGAAAATCAATGTTTTTGGCTGTCTCGCCTTTTCGTCTCCGATGGCCATCCGAGGCCTCAAGATGGCTCCAAGATGGCCCAAGGGGGCTCCAAGAGCGCTCCCAAGGCTCCCAAGAGCGCTTCAAGATGGCCCCAAGAGGCGCCCAGGAGGCCCCAACAGGCGCGCAAGAGGCCTCCAAGAGGCTCCCAAGAGACCCCCAAGAGGCCCCAAGAAGCTCTCCGAGGCACCCAAAACGCTCTAAGAGGCGTACGGGACCGCCAAGAGGCCCCGAAGACGCCCCAAGAGGCATCCACTGGGGGACCTTTCCTCTGTGTGCTACCCACTTCGCTGATCGAGGCAATTACACGATGGACTGGAGGGGTTACGCGAAGCGTCTAGAATTGAGTTGAGGAGGGGAGGTCACGTGGAACGGAATTCGGATCGTTAACAGGAAAGAAGGAGCGAGGGAGGAAATATCTACACTGACCGCGACATCTCTGACGAGAGAGAAAATAAGCACGATGAGGAGGAGACCTAACAAATCTATAATACAACTAAGAGAAAGATAACGCAGGATGGAGGAGACGATGTAGGGCGTGTCAGATGTGAGAAGTGGAGGGCTGGGAGGGAACATGAGGAGAACGAGGACGAAGGAGTGTAGAAGAGGGGAAGCACTGCAGAGGTACACGACGGTGAAAGAGGAAGATAAAGATCAGGAACGGGAGGAGACAGTCGCCCTCGTCCTCGCTAACATGTCCGGCTCCCACTTGTCCTCCTCATAATGCCCGAGACAACCAAGGAAGAGGGACATGGCTGATGACATGCCCCTCCTCCTCCTCCTCCTTCTGCGTCTGCTTCACTTCCTCTTTCTCACGCAGCTTCTCCGACTCCTCCTGCTCTTCTTCGTCCCCTCTCGTGTCCTCCCTTCCTGCTCTCAATCCCTCTTGTGATAAGGGAGCGGATGAGAAGGATCCAGGAGCTCCCCACAGCCTACGATGATTCCCATGCCCCCCCCCGCTCCCACGCCTCCTACACCGACGACCGCCTGCGAACGCAGCCGTACTCTTCTCTCCTCCTCTTCCTTTTCTTTCTTTCCCAATGGAGGGCAAGCCAGGAGGATGCATCGGATGAACCGAAGGGGAATGGGTGGGAGGAGGAGGGACGCACAGGAGAAGGGAGGAGGGGCGAAAAACGATTCCAAGAACGGCAAACAGATGGCACCAAAGGGACCCGCGAACGACGAACGAACGAGAAGGTGGAGGAGGGCGGGCAGGGAGAAGGGCGAGAAGGAACGAGGACGAGGAGGACGAGAAGCGAGGCGGAGCGAGCAGGCCAGGGCGAGGAGGGGTGAGGAGGAGCGAGGAGGACGGGCGAAGAAGAACGAGAAGGAATGAGGGGGGCGGAGGATGCCCGGAGCGACATAGCGCGGCGGGCCTCGACGCAGCGCATCCTCCTCCAGCGCGCCGAGACTTCGGTGGCAGAACACCATGTCTATTCTCAGCAACACCTCCCAGGGCACGGCCTCCAGGAGGGGCCAGGAGGAGCAGGGAGAAAGGAGGGCGAGAGGAGGAGAGAGGGGCATTCAGACTCGCGTGAGGGGGAAGGAGAAGGAGGAGGAGAAATCCCAGTGCAAACCCAAGGCGCATCAACGATCTTGCAATAAACCCGCCCTCCACGTTCCCTTTTTTTCACAGGTCCCTAGAAGAAATTCTGTTCACTGCTGGGAACACCCCGTGTTTGAGAATTCTCAATCGTGCCAAACGAGACACCACTCTCTGGTCTTCGACGCCACGAATCAACGTTACTGCTGCGACCTCACGATCCGAAGTCGTGCCAAGACACCATTCCTGGGAATTCAACACCGCGAATACATGTGACTGTTGCGCTTTCGCAATCCCGAACCGCGCCGGAACACCATTCCTCAGTCGTCCACCATAAAGTACCAACTCAACGACTGTACACTTTTAGCACGCATGTGCGCGGCGCTGAGGCGAGAACCATTCTTTGTAGATCCGTCCTCAATCCGAAAAGCCTGACAAACTTTTGAGACGAATGCACGCGGCGCTGAAGCAAGAACCACAAATTAAAAACAAAGCGCCCTCCATCCGTGAAGTTTCGGCGACAATTTAAAATTAATGTGCGCAGCCCTACGGCGAGACACACACGCACACACTTTGAAAACCAACCGCCCTCCATCCGCGAACCTCCTGCTTACTTGTATGGCAAACGTGCGCGGCCCTCAAGCAAGAACCACATTTTGGAAACCACCCGCCCACCATCCGTTACGATCATGCGAACATGTGAGACGAATCGGCGGGGCTCCCAGACGAAAATCGCACTTTGAACACCACGCGCCCTCCATCCGTGAAGCTCGAACGTGCGCGGCACCACACCGAGAACCTCATTTTGAATATCAGAGGCTCTCAGTCCGTGAAGCCCTTCCGTTTATTAATCGAGAAAGCGCGGAACCAAAACGAGAACCAAATTTTGAAACCCACCCGACCGACATCCGTGAAGCTCATTCGAACATTCAGGACGAATGTGCGCGACCCTTAGTCGAGACACTCACTTGTAAGCCACCCGCTCTCCATCCGTGAAGCTCCTGCGAAGTGTTATGGCGAATGAGCGCGGCGCTCAAGCGAAAACCACATTTTGAAAATCAGCCGCCCTCCATCCGTAAAGCTCTCACGAACGATGAATGCGAATGTGCGCGGCGCCCAGGCGCGAGGCACATTTTGAACACCAGCCGCCCTCCATCCGCGAAGCCCTTGCGAACGTAGAGGAGGAATGTGCGCGGCGCCGAGGCGAGAACCATGTTAGAAAAACCGCCCGTCCCCCCATTCGTGAAACTCGTGCGCACTTTGAAGACGAATGTGCGCGGCGCTCAGGCGAAAACCGCCTTTCGAAAACCACCCGCCTTCCATCCGTGAAGCTCTTGCGAGCTTGTATGGCGAAAGTGCGCGGCGCTCGGGCGAGAACCAAGCATCCACCCTCTATCCGCGAAGCCCCTGCAAACGTTCATGGCGAATCTGCGCGGCGCTAGAATGATCATCGCATGTTGGAAGCCGCCCGCCCTCCGTCCGCGACACTGCTGCGGATGTACAGCTTCAGGGTCACGCGTGGTGAAAAGGTCTCAGGGCAGACGCCTGGCCCGGCCGACCGAAACGCCACAGGACGAGACAGGAAGGAATGACTTCTAAGGACCAGGGATGGAGGAGGACGCGGGGGGTGGAGACGGCGGTCGGGAAAGGCGAGGCAGGAGGCAGGAGCGAGGAGGAAAGGTGCGGGCGGAGGAAGGGGGAGGGCGGGAAGGCGAAGGGCGGGAGAAGGCAAACAGGAAGGACCGAGGAGGGACCAGGGAGGAAATGCCGAGGGGTCAGGGCGAGCGTGGGGAGGTCCGGAAGAAAAACATGCGTGGGAGGAGGGGCCATCCTTTAACTGCGGGAGCGAGAGAATGCCCCGCAGGGCCGCGACGGCCACGTCGCGAACGCCGCCGCCCCCTCCTCTTCTCCTCAGCCTTTCCCCCCCTCTCCCTCTTCCTCCCCGTTCCCGCTGCTTTTCGCCCTTCGCCACCTCTCAGGAGGAGGGCGACAAGTACAGCGACGACGGCGAGGGCGATGACCGCGATGACGACGAGGAGCCTTCACGAGGTCCGCAAACTTGCAACGCCCGATCCGCTCCAGCGCCACGGGCTGACCAGCCTTGCCGTGGCCCAGGTAGCCGCCCGACAGCCACCACGGGGCCAGGCACTGCTCGTACGCCTCGCGTCCGCGCGCGCGCGAGCCACCTGTCAACACATACGGTCGCACAGGCACGCCGCTGGCAAGCTCCGCACGGAGGGCTGCGCAGCGTCGCCGAGGGGCCCGGGCGGGAGGCACGACAAGGCGCTCGGAGGGCGCGTGCCCAGTCCCAGTCGCACCACCCTGCCCCCAGTGGGTTACCGCACGGAGCAGAATCTCCGTGTCTCTCGTGCCGGGGCCCCCGATGGCAGATTCCAGAAACCCTGAACCCAAATATGTTGACGTCCCACATTTTTCGGGAACGGCGAGGAGGTCTGGCACAAGAAAAAAAATTCGACGGCTTCGCTGGCGCTTCACGTCGAGCTGGGGGGGCATCAAGTTGGGTTTGGGGATCTGGCGACGGAGCCGCTGTTTTACCGCAGCTGTTTTTCGCTCACTTTTTCGCCGACGGCGAAGCGCGCCGGAAACGAGGCCTGCACTGCTGGAGATGAACCAGGTGGATGGGGGAGGAGCAGCAGCAGACGCAACAGCAGCGGGACGGGGACGGCGACGCGGGAGAAGGACGGCTTCTTTGCAAAGCAGCCTCGAACGCATCCCTCTGCCTGGGATCGGCAAGCCCAAGGCGATACCAATCTCAACCATGTGCCCCCACGGACTGAAGAAATCCTTGAGGTCGGAACCGAATTAAGGTGATGCCGAAGGTCTCGCCATCGCTCGGACGTCCATTCCGTGTGTTTGTTTCGGTTTCGTGCGTGGTTTTTTTCGCCAAATGATCAAGGATATTCCTCAAGGGTCCTCGCCGAGAAGAAAATACACACGTCCGAGCGATGCCGAGAGGTAGGGAGAGGGATATCTTGCAAGCTGGTACACAAGGCTCATCCTTAGAATGCTTCTAAATGTTATGATCGTTCCCGATGTATTTCCACGTTTTTCAAGGGGCCCGAGGACACACAAATAAATACACACAAATAAAATGATTCCCCATATCTTCCCATATTTTCTGGGTTTTTGTCGTCCCGCCCACTTCCCATATCTTCCCATATTTTCTTGGGAATCGACGATTACTTGTGTCTGTGTGTTTCTTTCCCTCCTGAATCTTCTCTGCGCACGTGCCGCACGGTGCGTGCACACGCTCACCCGTGCGCACCTGGGCCGGGCAGCGTCGCAGCCGCCGCCTCCCCACACACAAGCGACGCATCTCCGTGACCCACGCCAGCGAAGGTGCGGGTCAGAAGAGGCCCCGCCGTGCCCGCACGTGGCCGCGCACGCCATATACGGGCCTCGGCACAGCTTAGCGCACACGTGCCACATGCGTCCGACGCCGCCCCCCCTCCCCCCGAATGTTCAAGGTTGGTGGTGGGTCTGATGAGATGCACTTCGGCCGCAGCCTCCCCCCGCGCGTGGCAGCATTGAGTTTTAGGGGGGGGTGTTCCGTAATTAATTATTTCCCTCTACCGTGCTTCCGCAGAAACAAGACTTGCGGGAACGCCCTCCGGGGCAACCCGGACAGCCCCTCCGAAAAAGAGAGCCACGAGCGAAAGAGCAAGTCCATGGGGGGGCAAAATGGGGGCCCGCGGGCGCCGGCCGGTAGTCCCTGCTCCGCACATGCCGAGCACATGCCTGGCACACGCCGGCACAGTACTTGCACAGCTTGCGGTGCCCAGTCGTGCACTCTTGAATGCAAAAGGAAGGGCACAGGACTGGGAAGAAATGGAAGGCTGGGAGGGACGGAGACCCTGGGAGAAAAGGAAAGACTGTGTGTAGGGTCTCCGCCAGGCGGCTGAGATCGCCAAACTGGCAGGAAACACCACCAAAGGGTTCCCGCGCACGCCACGCACATGTCGTACAGTCGCAGACAACGCTTTAGAGCGGGGGTCGAACCAGAACAATGGTGGAACATCTCAGAGCACATGCCCCCGCACATGGCCGCACATGTGCACACGCCCCTCGATCATAACGCTCCGACATCGCAAAGATCCGCATGTGCTGGGCACATGCCGCGCACATACCTGCACAACGAGCGCACATGGCGAGCCAACATCGCCGGCACATGCCCCAGAACGGCACCACTATCGCGAGCACTGTGCAAGCTGCAACCCCCCCACCTGCGTCCAAACGCCATCAGCCCTCGGTTCAGGTCGCGGAGATCCAAGACCCCCCTGAGGTCATAATGCCCGTGCCAACTGAGAATTTAAGGGCTGTGCCACTGCGCGTGCATGCAATCGGCCTACGGGACTGGGGCGGGGGAGGGGCTCGCAAGAGAGGATTCGGGGTAATGCCCGTTGATAAACATGCCACTGGGAGCTCCAACTGGGAACTGAAAGCACCTACTGCCCCAAATGTGGATAATATTCCCGCTGGCCATGTGGAACAGACAGGAGAAAACCGAGGTTCTTCATTCGGGGTCGCCAGCTGGCTACCCCACCGATCCTGGATCGGCGAGGTTGTCGGATGACGTCTCGTAACCCCATCTGGTCCTTATTCGCACGCCTCCATCGTAATCGATGACAGGGCCTTCCTGGCATGAACGCGTGCGGCGACAGCGCGCCTCTAAGTCCCAGTGCGTGAAAATCCGGTCAGCGTCCCACTTCTGCCGCCAGCTGGCGGCGGCGCGGAGCATCTTCTCGGCTTTGCTCACGTTCCTCGATGGGATGGACGGCGCTAGGGACGACGAGGAGGAATGTGGCAGAATGCGGAGGTGGAAGAGCACAAGGACATACACAAGGAGGCATTTCGTGGGGCCGGGCAACGTTCATAACGAAACGTCGCTGCCTGCCCTCAGCCATCGGATGCAAGAGAAGAGACATGACATTGGGGACCACTCGTGAGGAAACACGTGGGGAAAGGCAGGAGACACATGAGCATGGTGAGCAGCCCGGCCCGCTCCAGTTGTTCGCTCGGAGGTACCGCTCCAGCGTGGACGGGTCCGTCCGATGGCCGCCACATCCGGGGCCTCTGTTGGCCTCGGGCACCGCAACACGCACGCTTGCCTCGATCGGTGCGTGCCAATACTCTGTCGGCGTGCGCCGTCTGGAAAATCTGCGCTTCATCCGGCAAGTCTGCGGGGCTTCAGGGGCGCGCGCACGCTGCCGACCTCCTCTGCTTGCGAAGAGGACTGTGAACTGCGCCTGCGATCTGAAGGCTCGCTGCAGCCGGCTAGGTGCCACGATGCTGCGCAGATGTGTTTGGGTACCTGCCCGCGGGGCTCCCGCGGGCGAGGGTTCAATGTGCGAGCTTACTGTGCGCTGGGATGGTGCGATACTTGGGAGGGAGTGCAGTGCGGACGCTGTGCCTACACATTGCCTGTAGGTCTGGAGCCCGCCCACACGCTCCCAAAGTATAACGTGCATGCCCCGTGCATGATATGTACGCACACATGCTGTTCACGCGCACTGTGAATGCTCGAGGTGTAAACTATAGACAAGGAGCGTGAGCACAGCTGCGCACTATCTGCGCGCACACGAGATCTGCATTGTGAGACGGACTCGTGACAAGATACGCCATGCGACAAATCCGATGCACAGACTTGGCCATGTGGCGTTCCTATACTGGGATCCTGCGCACACTCTGCAATCGCCGATAGTTTGCAGCGCAGTAGATGCAAAGTCGTGCGGCGAATCGGCCTGGCGGCACCAGCAACCCCCTAGGTGATGCAATTGAATGCGAACCCAGGGGCCCGTGGACGCCCGTGGATTCTGACTCAGGACGGATGGTGAGGATTGGACGGCCTCTGGAACCAGGTTGCAAGTGCCGCTAAGCTAAATTCATCATCAACCTTATCTGCTGGGCACGCGGTCTTGAGCCATTGCATACGAAGGAGTGGTGTCTCATAACCTGTCTTGGCTTCAGAATCAGCTTCAGCCAAGCCAAACCTAGCTCAGCGTAATCCCACCAGCATTTTCGGGCGTGAGTGGTGCAGGGCGCTTCCTCTTCCAACCCCCTTTTTTCCCTTCAGGGAGGGGCTTATCATTGTTCCAAACTGTTCCCGAATAATTGGCATGCCCCTTCCCCAGGCGACCGGCAGCCAATCCGAACCCATGAGGGTACCCATGACAACAACCCCCCACCATCCCTGACAAGAAAAACCATATGAAATACACGTCGGGGCAAACTCTTGGGTCATGTTCGTGGGCCCCGCGTGCAGTGTTGTGTTGTTTTTGGCACAGACGTTGAGGGTGCCAACAAATTGCCTGCTGTGCGCAGGGCCACCATCCGTATCAAAAAAGCAATGCGTAATGTACTTCGCGGCGAAAGCTGGGTCATGCGCGGCAGCCCCGCGATCACCTGTCCATAGCTTTTTGACAAGGACAGCTGGGGTGATGGCATATTGCCTGCCTTGTGCAGGCCCACCACACACTATCATGGCCACCCCGCCGCGATGGCGCAGTGGTTTTCGGCAAGGATGGGGGGGCCGACACGTTTTCCGATGTGAGCTGTCACGTGCGCGGCCGCACCGGGCACACTCTGATCGTGCCCCGAACGTGGTGCACCTGGCGCGGCTGGAGCATGCGGCACACGTCGCGCACGTGGAGCACGTGGCGCATACGGCGCACCAGGCGTGCCTGGCGCGCTTGGGCACCAGGGGTGCCTGGCGCACCTGGCGCGCTTGGCGCTCCTGGTATGCGTGGCGCACCTCGCCCAAGCGTCGCGCACATGGGCTATGTTCTGGTTCCCAGTAGCTGCCCATCGAAAGACGACCGCTGAACATGCTGAGGCTCCAAGAGATCCCCAAGAGGTCCTCAGAGGCTCCCCCGAAGCACCCAAGACGCTCCAAGAGGCCCCGGGACCAGCAAGAGACCCCCAAGACGCCCCAAGAGGACTCCAACAAGCTCTCAAGAGACATCCGAAGAGACTCCGAGGGCGTCCAAGAGGCCTCTGGCCTTTCTACTAGCCCCCCTCCTCCTCCTCCTCCTCCTCCTCCTCCTCCTGCTTATTCGTCTCTTCCTCCTCCTCCCCGTCCTCCTGTCTCCTGCCTCCTCCCCCTCCCTCTCCTACTCCTCCTCCTCCTCCTCCTCCTCCGCTTCTTTCTTCATCCTCCCCCTCTTGGGATATGACGGCCTCCCAGGGCTGCTCCACATCCCTGATCAGGCAACTCGCCTGAACATCGTTTGTGGATGGGCTGGTGGGGTTACGCGAAGCGTCTAGCTGACGTGCTACCTCCACAATAATCTAGGCTTATAATGCATAGCTTAGTTATCGATTCGTGTTTGCTTAGCAGCGTTTGGCTTATGCTGCGTAGCCCATACCGCATGCGACCCCACTGCAAGCGTGATGCTAAGGATGCCTCCTGAAATCATTGAGGACTGTGATGTCTCCTAAGCCGGGCGTCGCGCTGGGAAACATCAACGTCAGAGAAAGGCCTGTCAGGATGCATTCTTCGCTAACGACTTGTGTTCCAACAGGGTGAGAGGGGTGCCGGTAGGGGTGGGTGGGGGCGGTGGCAGGGCAGCAGCAGCAGCAGCAGCTGCAACCAATGCTTTTCCATACAACCAGTCACCAGCTCAGCGAGGTCCGCGACGCGGCGAGACAACACCTCCAACATCTGCTTGCGCTCGGCGCTGCACTCAGCGTCTAACAATGGAATGTCGATGTTCGTCCGCGAGACCACTGGCAGCTCGGTGGACGCCAGTGGATCTTGAAGCATTTTTCCAAAAGCTTGACTTGATAGACATAACCATCTGCATGCAAGGAGTATATGGAGTGCGTTCGCGAGCGTGCCACTTTGAAAATCAGTATCACAGCGACTGCGTTCACAACAACATTCTGGCAGAGGCTAGGCCAACAGAAACCACAATCAAATCACATCCGCTGGTTACCCTTCAGCTGTTCAGTCAACCACTGACCATCAAACCATGCACACCTACATCGAAGCTGCATTGGTGACCGAACCGGGTGTCTTGCGTGCGCGGCTGTACTGATCCAGACTTGTCCTGACAAGGTCGTTGTGCTGCGTGCAGACACCGATCATTACAATAGCAATACCGAATTGAAGCTCACATTTTGTAGATGAGGAATTGCAACCTAGCAACCGACAGGTTTCCTAAGTGCCCGGACCGTTCCGACTTTGAGATCATAGCGCGCCTCAGAGCGGCCTCGATGTGTTCCATTCCATTTTCTGCCCAAACGGACACGTTGACATACGTCCCCGCAAGCTCCTCCAATTTCCGGATAACCCTCCAACCGTTTCCTTTTCGCACGCGTGCAAGTTGCATGCCGCATCGCTGTTAGCTTGCAACGTGGCGTATGTAAATACATTGTTTGTAAGGCACCTTTCAGCATGTCCCCGAAGTTGCGTTTGCTTGAGTTTGTTTGAAATTCGGTGTCATGTAATTAAAGTGTACTCTGTTCTGTAGATGACCCAGCCGTCTACGCATTTACTTGTTTGGGGGCGACGGCTGGGCTTGTATCTAGTTCGCCCTTGCTTACCACTGTTGGCATCTAGCTTGCGTCTCGTGTCCGTGCAGGCTGCCTGGACGCGCTGCGAGTTCGTTCCTAGCTGGCCCCTCGGTCACATTTATGTTCCTGCTACCCGGCTGCCTATAGAGTGGCCAGTAGCATACCATCTGCAACTGCACTGCGTCGATGTTGCACTCGCTTGCTTGGCCTCTCCAGCTTGCCGTCATCTTGGAATGGCTTCTATTTGGGTGGGACCAAAGCCCCTATGCTGTCCACCACCGTGCCGCGAAGCGCGTTTTGAGCCCTGGAGCCATCCGTCCTCAGCCTGACAACTGAGCCTTTCAAAGCGTGGGCCCCACATTCACGGACTTCTGGGCGCGTGGCACGTGCCGGCGCGTGCTCTGGCGTGAATGTATTGGAGCCCCGATCCTCCCAAGAAGGGCCAAGAGGGTCCCGCGAGGCCCCCTTACAACCCTCGTCGAAAATAAACTGAGGGATTATGTGTTCGGTGATTGTATGGTCAGCGCTACTCCAATGCTGACGCTAGATATCTGACGTGGACGCAAGGGCTTCAAAAATCCGACGACCCCTCCGCAGCATTGAAGAACGCAGTTTCTAACAAGTGCCCGAGAAGATCGATCGTCGTGATTTCCAATTTTGTTTCTGTTTATTTTTGACGAGGCTTGTATGACGGTCCAAGTGGGCTCCGAGTCGGCCCAAGGGCGCGCAAAGATCCCGAAGCTGGCCTCAAGACAGCCCCAGAGAGGCCACCAAGCTGCCCTCAGAGAGCCCCCCAAGACAGCAATATCCTTAGACGGGGGAGGGGGGGAGTTTGTTTTTTTTTATTTGAAAAAAGAATTAAAGAGGGGGGGGGTAAAATGTCCAACGAGACCCTCCAGCGTTTGAAATTCCCCATGGTTTGGAGTTAGGTGCTTGGTTGCCCTGGGGTCCTGGGTTCCGCTTGTACTGCAATCCCTAAGTTCTCGTCGCGGTAGAACCTGCTTGCGACCCGCAATGTGTGAGCCACCAGCCCATTCCCCCTCGTACATCATACTGGCCTTTGTTTGCCTGTGGCCTGTGCTGTTCCATGAGCTTGGCTATACTCGGTCCGTTGCATGCCTTGGTTCAGCCTGGTTTCAATGTGAGCTCACGTTGCAGGTTCGTTGCCCTTCGTTGGCGTCATATTGGCGTGTCGTTTGCAATGCGATTGCAGTTTGCTTGCTATCATGTAGCTGTCAATCAGCTTGCGTTTATAAGGATGCTCTTTCGATTTCCAGTTGCGGCGGTCGAACGTCCGTTTGCTTGCGCTTTTACCCCTATCTTGCTTTGAGCGTTGAGCGTGCAACGTCAAGCTTGCTCTTCGGTTGAGCTCCTGGCTTCGGCGCCCAGCTACAAAGCAGACATAAGGACCTGACGCTGCCCGAATCATCTCCCATCTTATGCAAGGCAAGATCAACAACATCTGACATGCATGCTAAAGTCAGACTGCACGTTACCGCAATCACGAATAATGATGTATTTGGGACCAGCTGTCACATGCTGCGGCGTTGATGTGTATTGACTTGAGCTGCGCCGTGTTGCTTGGAAGTGCGGCGCAGTGCATTGCCATGTACTGCCTTGGTTTGAACCGATTCGCTTTGACATGCTTTGAGTAGCAAATAATTGCTGTGCGTCGCTATTGTTTTCAATTGATTACCTGGCGTGCCTTGCTTTGTGTTGAGTGTTACATAGTTATGCATGGCTCTGGTTGCATCTACCCGGCATTGCTTTGCGATGCTTCATTTTGCCGTGATCTGCATTGCACCACAGTGCGTCGCAACGCGTGTCCTTGCATCGCGTTGCATGGAGAAAAACCTTGCCTCTGCACCGCGTCGCTCAGGGGGGGTCCTCGGAGATCCGGGGGAGGACCACCCGCAAGGGCACGGAAATATCGTAGGGAATCTGGATTCGGGCCGAAGAGGGGCTGTGGCAGAGACTTACCGGAGCCGCTTCGGCAAATCTCTACCACAGCCCAGCCACTCTTGCACCGCAGAGGTTAGGTTCCATTGGGCACAGCATGATTGGGAACACGGTGGATCACGCTGGGCCGTAGGAACACTGCCCCCCAACATGTCAGCGTGAGGGCGCAGCGCGCCGCAGGGTCACCAGAAGATCCCACCAGGAAGCAGGCCCTGCGCTGACGAATCTCGCAGGGGACGCTGCTGGGCCGCTCGTCGCGCCCAGGGTTATGATGCTCCAACCTACTTTAGCCTTGACCGCCAGGAAGAATTTCGAGCGCCCCCAAAAAAGTATCGAAACTCAAGGGATTTCGCGTGCCGGGCCCTGGGAGACACCCGCCCGACGCTGTTTCGACACTGTTCCGGCACGCTCTTGACACTCTTCTGGGTGCTCGAAATCACTTCTGGGATGCGGTCCTCACGTAAGCAGGGCGGGAACAGTGGGGAGCTGGCGAATCTCGCACGGGGCGCTGATGGGTAGGAGGAGGAGGAGCGAACGTCGCCTGAGAGGGGCGAGTCCGTCGGAAGGCCGAGCTACGGCGCGCCCGCTCCGCCCGACAGATCGGCAGGCAGCTTCAGAGCATGGCGCGCGGCGGCTACGGCGGTCGATTGCTTCTGGTACGTCATCGGCACGGAGTCATCCTTGGTGAGGTGGTAGGCTCGTGTCGCGACACTGGCAGGAGGAGGAGGAGGAGGAGGAGGAGGAGGAGGAGGACGAGGAGGAGGAGGAGGAGGAGGAGGAGGAGGAGGCCACTCGTCGTGCCCAGGGCCTCGATCTGCCAAGACGCTTCAGCACAGCACCCCAACGCCTGCTCTGGCACACAGCCGTCGCGCTGCGAGTCGGGAGCGGCCAAGAGGGGGGTGTCCAAAAGGGGGGGGTGCAAATCATGACCGGCGGCATGTGCGCGGCCCAGCGGGGGGGCCAGGGACGTAATGAAATAAGAAGAGGCGCCACGAAATCTGGGAAAATATCATGGCCCCCGCCATGATATCCCCCCCCCCTAGTCATCACCCCCCTCTTTTCCGCCCCCGAGCGAGGCGCAAAAGGGTGGACTGGGCAGAGAAAGAGAGAGAGCGGCTTCTCTTTCCGGGCACGGCGAGCCTCTCGGCCACACGACGAGGCCCCGGACCTGGAGGCCGCAGGAACGGGCCGAAGACCAGGGCCCCTATCATGAGCCCAGCGTGGTTCTCGTTTCTTCGTCTCGAGTTACGCTGTCCCCGTCCTACTTAAGGACCGCATCCCAGCGTCTTAGCAGATCGAGGCCCTGGGCACGACGAGTGGCCTCCTCCTCCTCCTCCTCCTCCTGCCCATCAGCGCCCCCTGCGAGATTCGCCAGCTTCCCATTGTTCCCGTTCCACTTACGTAAGGACCGCATCCCAGAAATGATTTCGAGCACCCAGAAAAGTGTCAAAAGAGTGTCGAAAGAGTGTCGAAACAGTGTCTCCCAGGTCCCAGGGCCCGGCACGTGAACACACTTGAGTTTCGGTACTGTTTTGGGCGCTCGAAATTCTTCCTGGTGATCAAGGCTAAAGTAGGTTGGAGCATCATAAGTCTCGAGTGCACGATGCCCCCTCACCCTCCTACTCCTCGCGGCAATCGGCGTGACGGTGGGGCGCTCTAGATCGGGGAGACGCAAGGGAAGGCTCGGGGGCGGGGGACTCGGGTGGGCCCGACGGGGCCAGCATTAAAAATCACCAGACCCAACCTGAAATTTGACGCGAGCTCCGGCTGCAAACATCCCACGACAACTGGACCGTCAAAATCGAGGACGCGCTCGACAAAAAAACGTCGGCAAAACCCGACTTGCTTGCATACTTGAGTCTTACGCTTCCCCGAACTAGGCGTGGACAAGCGCTCCTCCTGGGCGCATCCAGTGGGACCAGCAAGGTCCACGCTGGTGCTGGCGGCTGAGGCTCGGCTCGGCCGAGCTCAGAGATGGCAATCCCTGAGCGGACTGGCTGGGCTGACGACGCTTCCTTGCCACAAACTGACGCAAGAGTGCGCAGACGAACTACGCCTGCGTATGTCATGCAACACCAACTCCTGCGGACAATCCGCTTTGTCAGTCTACCAGCGGGGGGGGGGTATTTTTGTGAAGCCTCCTGGAGCGGCTTCCCGACTGGGGAGTCCGGGAGTCGGGGGCCAGGGGAGTGGGGGAGTTGGGGGGCAGGGGGGCCGCGGAGTTATGGAGTCGAGGCGCTGGGGCGCCGGGCAAGTCGGGGAGCGGGGGGAGTCGGTCAGCCACTCCCCGCACCCCCCCAAACGAGATCCCCCAACTGAGCCAAAGGTCTAGGAGTCTTGAGCCCTCGGCCCCAGCTTCCGCTCACAGACGCCGACCGCCCCAAGCCGCCAGAGCTCTCCGGGGGGCGCCAGGGATCCGCGAAGCCCGCGGGCCTTCGCGGAGGCCGCAGTGCTTGTACCGCCCATGGCCCAGCGCCCAGCAGGCCGCGGCGTCGTGCTGCGACGCGCTGCCGCCGACCCGGTTGCCCGACAGCTGCCCCGTCGGCGCGCTGCGCGGGGAGGGGACGGGGAGGGCGAGCGAGCGGGGCGGGGGGACCGGGGACGGGAGGGGGGAAGGATGGGGCGGGAGAAGAGAAGAGGACTTCTTGGGGGGCCGGGGCAGGAATCGGAAGGTGAGGAGGGCGGGTCAAAGAGGGGCGAGGGGGGGAGAGTGGCGGAGGGAGGAGGTGAAGAGGGGAGGGGAGGAGACAAGAGGGAGGGAGAGGGGGGGGGAGCGAGGTGACCTGGGCTGATGCTTCTCCTTCCCGAACTCCTCCTCCGCCTCCTCCTCCTCCTCCTCTCCTCCATCCGCCCTCCTGCTTCTGCTGCTGCATCTCCTTCTGCGAGGCGCGGCAAAGCGGCAACATCGCACCTGCATTCATCCTGATTATCATCCTCCTCCTCCTCCTCCTCCTCCTCCTCCTCAGACTCCCCCGGATTATTATTCCATTTATTTTGGTCACTCATCCTGATAAGCTAATATGTGGCAGAAGGGAAAGGAACAGAGGAGGCCCAATATGTGTAGACGATGATGCAATAACTTTCTCGTCAGACATCCCCTGCCTGTAAATCCATACGGGCTCTGTTTCTCATTCGATATGGCACCATGGCCTGCCATTCAAGTGGATGCCCCGGTCTGGAAATATTCCGTCAGGTTAGCCATGGGATGCGCACAGAGGCACGATGGTAAAATTAAAGGATGCTTACTAGGTGGTGCAACTATGTGGTGCGAACTACGTGGTGTAACATCTTCGGTGCAACCTACGTGGTGCGTGTGGTGCCAGCTAGGTGGTACAAGCAATGTCGTGCATGTGCAAGCTACGGGGTGCAAGCCGTGTGGTGTCAGAGTATGCACGCTGTGTGGTGCCAGAGGTATGGCGCGGGCTCCGTGGCGCAGGCCATGTGGAGGGAGCTGTGAGGAGGTGCGACCTGCGAGGCGCAACTTGTTACCAGCCTCGAACGTATCCCTATCCCTAAGATTGACACGCCAAAAGGCGATGACAATCTTAAGGATCCACCCTCAAAACGTAAGGGAACCCCTGAGATTGGCATCGTGAGGAGGAGGTGCCCAGCACAGGGATAGGGATATGTTCCAGGCTGGTAAACTTGAGCGGTGAGAGCTGTCTCAACGCATCGCTACGTTTCAGCCGTGACGCGGTGGAGGGCTCGGCCCAGCGCCAGCGACACGGTGTGGAGACAACATCGTCGTCGTTTTGAGATCAATATATCTTGGGTCATGGGTGGGTGGGACACGTCCACTTGTGCAGGCTCTGCCGCCGCCAAGCGGATGAGGGCAGGCATGGCGCGCCCAAAGGGGCGGGCACCAGGAGGCGACGCCTCGGCAGACCCGCGAGGCGCGCGGGGCGCCCACGAGAGTCACTCGCGGGCGGGCACCCGGCGAGGGCCTCGGCAGGCCCACCCGGGGCGCCTGGGGCGCCCACGAGCTGCCCACGGGGGGGCACCGGGCGAGGGCCTCGGCTGCTCCGTCCGGCCCGAGTCCATGAGGAGGCCTAACAAACAAGCCATGAGTAAAAGGGGCCCTGCGACACACAAATAAATACACACACAAACAAAAGGATCCCCCTATTTTCCCATATGATTGGGATGTTCGTCTCCCCCCCCCACTTCCCATATGTTCCAATGTCTTTGGGGCAATCGACGATTCATTGTATCTGTGTGTGTTTTCCCCCTCCTGAGTAAGAGCAAGCACTGCTTGGGGAATGGTGTGGTCTCTCAGAAGCGGGAGCCCAATTTTCAGAGCGAAGCGCCCTCCAACCGTGCAGTTCTTGACCATGCAGTCGATGCCGCAGTGAAGAAGCATTCAGCGATGCGAAACACGTTTCGACAACGGACCGCCTCCAGAAAACATAACCAATGCAAGCTAAACAACGACGGCAACAATAACAACAACACATTATTTTAAGACTGCTCGCTCTTATTTGCTCGATTGTCATTCAACGTGCGTTTCCCAAACCCTGGAGATCCGCCCTCTTCGTCTTCGATCGTACCCCTTTTGAGGGGGGGTATATCATTCTTCCCTGCAGGCCGAGTCCCGGCAAGCGGCGGGGCGGCCGGCCTGGCCAGCGGCAGCGCTGATCGGCGGCAAGATCGACGGCAACCCGACCCCAAGAGGGACGGACAGGGAACCGACGACGCCGACGGCGACGACGACGACGACGACGAGCGAAAGCGAGAGCGAGAGCGACAGCAGGGCCACGAAGGGCAGGAAGGGGGCCACGAAGGGCGACAGCGGGCCACAAAGGGCATGCGTATGGGGCCACGAAGGGCGCGAACGAGCGGGTGCCACGAAGGGCAGATAATGCGGGGCCACAGCATCAACGACGGGGTCAGAGAGGGTAGCAACGGCGCCACGGAGGACAGCGAGGGGGCCACGAAGGGCGACAGCGGGGCCACGAAGGGCATGCATTTGGGGCCACGATGGGCGCGAATGAGCGGGGGCCGCGAAGGGCATACGTATACTGCGCCGCAGAAGGGCAAGGACGGGGCCACGACGGGCAGCGAGGGGGTCACGAAGGGCAGCGAGGAGGCCACGAAGGGTGACAGCCGGGCCACGAAGCGCACGCAGATGGGGCCGCGACGGGCGCGAACAAGCGGGGGCCACCAAGGGCATGCATATATGGGGCCGCGAAGGACAGCGAGGGGGCCACGAAGGGCTGCAAAGGGGCCACGAAGGGCAAACGAGGGGGCCACGAACGGCTGCAACGGGGAAACGAAGGGCAGCGAGGGGGCCACGAAGGGCGAGAGCGGGGCCACGAATGGCGTGCATATGGGGCCACGAAGGGCAGCAACGTGTCCACGAGGAGCAGCGAGGGGGGCACGAAGGGCTGCAACGGGGCCACGAAGGGCAGCGAGTGGGACCACAAAGGGCTGCAACGGGGCCACGAAGGGCTGCAACGGGTCCACGAAGGGCAGCGAGGGGCCACGAAGGGCTGCAATGGGGCCACGAAGGGCAGCGAGATCCCGTTTCCTAAGTAAGATGTGACGGAGTCCTAAGCGTGAGCGCGACTCCTGGGTGCCTGACTGTCGGGAGCGCGGCGCTTGAGTAAATTGCGGGGAACTCAACTGCAAAAGCGCGATTCTGGACTAAATTGTAAGCAAATCTCCAGCGAGAGCGCGACTCCAGAGCGCCGAGAAAACGCTTCCGGAATAAATTGTAAGGATGTCCAAAGCGAGAGCGCGATTCCTGAAGAGAAGGGGGGAAATCTCAGGCGGGAGCGGGGCCTTAGTTAAATTGTGAGGAAGTCTCCGGCGGGAGCCGTTGTTGTTGTTGTTGTTGGTGTTGTTGTTGTAACCTGGAGACCAACAACACAATTTGAGCCGAATGACTTCCCCTGATGAAGCCAGGGTGCGAGCCCCGGGGAATTCACTTCAATTGAATAAGCCACAATGGTCCGCGAAGGGGGGATCAACAATCATTATTCTTCAGTAGTGAGGGCTCAACAACAGCACCATCAGCAGCAGCAACAGCACCGTTCATTTTGAGACTGTTCGCTCTTGTCTGCTCGCGTGCCACTCAACGCGCGTGAATATCAAGTCCTCGAGGCCCGCCCTCTTCGTCTTCGATCGTGCCATCTTGGGGGTGGATCTTTCTTTCTTACTTGCACCATACATTTCGTGCAGCCCATTGACCAGGGAAAAGGAAGACGGATGGAAGGAAGGGACAAGGGGGAGGGAGGAGGATGGAACACGAGAGAAAATAGGATAGGGGGGTCAGGAACAGAAAACACGTGGCAGAACCGGACGGGCAGATCAGGTGGGTAGGCCCTAACACGCGGGTCGGGAAGGCGGGCCCAGGCGGCCAGGTCGAGCAGGCGGGTTGCTGAAGCGTGCGTCTTGCTTGAATCGCGAGGAAGTTTCGAGCCACAGAGCGATTCCCCCAAAAATCGTAAGGACGTCCACACAGAGAGCGTGATTTCTGAGTGTCGAAGGCGCGGAGTCTAAATCAATTGCGAAGAAGTCCAACGCGAGAGCGCGATTTCTGCATCAATTGTGAGCGAGAACGCGATGTGGAATACATTGTGAGGAAATACCAGGCGGAAGCCCTTCTTATTGTAAATCCGGGGCCAAGGGACAAATCCTGAAACCCAAGACTTTCCTTGATAACAAACAGGGCGCGAGCCCCGGAACGGCACTTTAATTGAAAAACACCAGGTGTCCCGGAGGGGGATCAACAATAATTCCATATTCTTCAACAGTGAGAACTCACCAACAACAGCAACAACACAAACAGCAACGAAAACAAAAACAACAATAACAACCATGAACCAATCTAAGACTGCTCGCTTTCAGACGTGCGCGTGCCATTCAACATGTATATCCCAAAACCTCGATGCCCGCCCTCCTCGTCTTTGATCGTACCCCCTTGGGGGAATACATCTTCATCCCTGCCACGCGTAATTGGTGCAGCCAGGAAGAACTGAAATAATGGAACAGGGAGGGAGCGAGGAGGAAGGGAGTGGGGGAAGGGAGGGAGGAGGGAAGGGGGCAAGAGGGGAGAAGGGAGAAAGATGGAGGACGAGAAGGGGTGAGGCAAGACGGACTGGCGAGAGAGGGAAAGATGGCAAGGATGTCGCCGCCGAGAGCGCGGCTCCTGAGACCAATTGCGACGACGTCCCGAGCGAGAGCGCGACCGTGTGGCGCCGAGAAAGCGACCCGTCATGTAAGTGTGAAGAGATCTCGAGCGAGAGCGCGGTCCCAGGATACTCCAGATTTCGTAATAAAAGGGAGGGGGTCTGGACGCTCCAAGACAAGCCATTTCAGACCTCCCCCCGTGGGAGAGCCCTCCAAAGCATCGTCCCCAAACCCCCCCAGGCCCTCCAAGATAGCCTGGAAGAGACCCCCCCCGAAATGAGACCGCCCTCCCTTTATTACGAAATCTGGAGTAATTGTGAAGAAGTCTCAAGCGAGAGCGCGATCCCAGGATCCCTTGCGGGAGTTTCGCCGGCGGGAGCCCCATCTCTCAACGCATTGGGGGTAGGTATAATTAGGG